AGGGGGTGAGTCTGGGCTTGGGTGATGCCAGCTCCAGTCATACCAGCTCCATCTCCAAGGCCCCACGTCTGACCACCTCTGGCAACCCCCTCCAGCCCAAGACCAGCCCCCTCAAGATGCTGGGTGCGCCCACCCTCGTTTGCACCCCTCCCGCAAACTCCCCAGCTACCCTTGCTGGGCGGCTCCTCCATGTCCGCTGTTGTCTTCTCTTCCCGAAGTCCTCTGAGAGTTGGGAGCTCTGAGCTTTGCGTAGAGCCTCCAGGGGCTGGGCCCTGCCCTAGATCCCCCTAAGCCTGTGCTAGAGTCCATGCTAGAAGCACCCATAGGTGCCCTTGGTGACTCACGCCTCCAGGTATGAGCTGCTCACTGGCCCATGAGTGCGCGGGGGCTTTGGTCATGTGGGTGCAGGCGCCGGGAGAGTGGCGCCTACAGACCAGTGCCTGCTCTCGGGGACTAAGTTCTTTGGGGGACCAGACAAAACACAACGAAGGCGGCACATCGGCTGTGAGTCAGGTGCCGGGGCTTGGCACAAGGGAGATGGCCACAGGCATTTGGAGAAGGGGCAGATCCGTGGCCAGAGATGGAACCGGGAAGGGTTCCTGAGCTGGGGCCCACCCTGGGCTTTAAAGCATGAATGTGGTGGGACTGGCAAAGGGGCGTGGGTAGAAAGTCTTCCTGGCAGAAGGAGAGCAGAAGCAGAGGCTTCAGAAGGGGAACAAGGAGAGCTTTCAGAGGTGACTGGGCCGACTGGGCAGATGAGCTCCCTGGTTCCCTGCAGCCCACCACCTTCATGGCTGCTGGCCCCCGCCCACCACCTCCAGCCCAGTGTGTCTGGGGTGAAGTCTGGGAGAAAGTGTAGGGAGCAGCTCGCTAGGTCCCTCGCCCAGCCGGGGGTAGAGGAGGGCCTCCCGGACCCCACGCCTCCCCGACGACCCTCGGGGGCATTGCCCTCCCGGGCCGGGAAATCAGGCTGAAGGCAGAGAAGACGCCCAGGCAGAACATTCCTGGGGCCTTGTCCAGAGGGCGGAAGGCGTCCTGAGGCTTGAGGGTCAGGACCCCCAACATGACACTGGGTCTTGGGGTCTACCCTCAAATAAGCTTTCCAGTGAGTCCCCCCAGACGCTGCCCCACCCTCCCCTGTCTCCTGACGGAGCCCCAGGAGCCCCACAGACTTGACCGCTGTTGTCCAAAGCCCTTGGGCTTTCCTCCCGAGGAGAGGGGCGCGGCCTCGGGCGGTGAGGCGGGGCCAGGGCTTCCAGCCCGGGGCTTTCAGGGTTTGCCCCTCCTGCTTCCTGTCCCGGCTTCACCCCTGGGACTCCCGCTCCCTCGTCACCCCGGCCCTGCCCCTGCCAGTGTCGGGGTCCTGAGACCGGCCCCGTGGCGGCCAGAGGCCCGCGCCCCCGCCGCCCCCCGCGCTCCCTCCCCGGCACCGGCCGGTTCCCTCGCCGGGCTCTCTCCACCGCCCGCCCGGCGCGTGCCTGGCCCCCACATTTTCTCCTCCTGCTCTCGGGAGCCCCATGCGCCCCCCTCTTTCCCAAACACTCCCCTCGTGCCCTCACTTCTCACGCAGAGACAAACAAAGGCTCACATACCCCGGACAAACTCGCGCCGCCGGAGACGCAGGCCGCGTCCTGCCCGCACCCGCGGCGCGCGGCGGCCGGGGCCCCGCTCCGAGCGCGCCCCACCCCGGCCCCGGGCGCCGGCCTCGCGGGGCCCACGCGGGCGGGACCAGGGCGCACGGCCGGGCCGCCGCCCCCGGGCACCCCGCGCCGCCCGCCCGCGGGGAGGAGGCGCCGGCGCCCCCCCGGCCCTCGGCGAATGTTTCCCTACTTGGCCTGCCCGGTCTCTGGGGAGCGGGCCTCGGCCATGCGGCCCGAGCCGCTGGGGGAAAGTTGGGACGGGCTGTTCCCGCGGCGCCGCCGGCGAGCTCCGGCGCGCGACTCTCCGCGGCCCGAGCGGGGCGCCCCGCGCGCCCCCCGCGCCCCTCCCCGCGCTGCCCCGCGCCCGCCGCGGGTCTGCGCCGCTCGGACGGCGAGGGCGCGGGGCGCGGGCGCGGGCGCGGGCGGGCGGCTCGGCCCCGCCGGCCGCGGGGCCCGGGGCCGCCGCTATTTCGGGCTTATCAGCGCAGGAATGCGGCGGCCGCGCCGGCGGCGGGCGGGCGGCGTGGGCCGTGGGCCGTCAGGGCAGCCCTGAAGGGGCCCCTCCCCACTCGGCGGGGCGACGCGGGCGCCCAGCGGGACGCGCCGAGAGTTGGAGGGAAAAAGGCGGCGCAGGGGGAGCCGCGCGGGCGCGCGCGAGTGAGCGCCGCCGCGGCGCCCGCCCCGATGGCCGCGGACGAAGTTGCCGGAGGGGCGCGCAAAGCCACGAAAAGCAAACTTTTCGAGTTTCTGGTCCATGGGGTGGTGAGTGGGGCGCGGCGGGCGGGCGGGCGGGCGCGGGCTGAATGGGGGGCGGCGGGCGGGGCCGCGGGGGGCTCCGCTCTCCGCCCCTGCGGCGGGGCCGAGGCCCCGGCCGGCCCGGCCCGCGCCCGGGCACCCCCGCGCGTCGCGGGGCGGCGGCCGGGAGGGGGGCGCGGCGGGGAGGGGAGGCGTTCGCAGGGCGCGTGCCAGGGGCCGGGGGAGGGACTTGGGGGCTGTTCCCCTAAGTGGGGGTCCCTCCTGGGGCCGACCCGCGCCCTCCCTTCCTCTCCTGGCGGCCCAGGTGTCGGCCCCTGCCGGGGGGAGGGGCGGGGGCCCGCGGGGGGGCCCAGTCCTCTGCTGGCTGTTGGGACAGTGTCTCCGGTGCTGCCTCCCCAGCCGGGCGCAGGTGACCCCGGGGCACTGTGGGCCGCAGCCCTCTGCCTGAGCAACCTCGGCACCCCCGGGAGCTTTCTGGGTCTTGGCGGACGGCCTCTGCCATCAGGGTCAGAGAGGGGACCCTCCCCTGGGACAGACCCCAAGTTAAGAGGTCTGAGGGTCCCTTGACACACTCAGCCCCCAGAAGCTGGTGTCCTCAGTGCCTCAAAGGTGTGAAGGAAGGGGCTGGAGTCAGGGCCTGAGGCCTAGAGACCCAAAGGGGCCGGGCAGCGCTGCCTGGCCGGAGCAGGCTTCCCAGGCACCCAGGGAGCTGCGGGAGCCCTGGGCACGCGGCGGGGGTGGGAGGCTGAAGCCAAGGCGGCCGCCGCCAGGGTGGGAGGGGTGTGGCATGGGAAAGGCAGGGGCTCCAGGACTTGGGGTGGGTGCTGGGGTGGGATCCGAGGCTGGTGGCAGACATCAGATTTTCTATGGCCAAATTTGGTTGTAGCCTCAAAGACGGCACGTGCTCAGCGAACAGGACCAGAGGCCCCAGAACTTCAGCCCTTCGTGGGGGTGGCCCTGGTGGCTGGCATCGCTCTCTGGCCTGTCCAAGCAGATCAGTAGGCGTCACTGGCCTCCATCAGTGGGGGAGCAGCTGTGAGGGGAAAGGGGCCGCTGGGGGTAACCTTCTAGGGGTGCCCCTGCCGTTCTCCGAGTTGTCAGCCCTAACCCTGCTACTTGGGGGAGTCCCTTTCAAGGGGCTTATTTAGGCGGGAGACTCAACACGTGGATTTTCTCTGGGCCAACTTAGTGCCACAGTTTTTGGGTGCGGGTGAGCCCCCCGCCTCCCTGCGAGCGCCTCCTCCGTGCTGGTAGCAATGGCCGACGGGCTGCGTTCCCAGCTGCCACTGAGGAGGTGTGAGTGACAGGGTCAGGCGGGGCGGGCAGGCGGGTGCGTGGACAGGCAGGTTTCTGGAGAGACGGGCAGGGACAGCTGGCCGGCTGGGGGGCAGGGATGGACATGGTGCCCGGGGAGCAGGCCTGGAGGGGCGGGAGGGAGAGCCGGAAGGGCTCACCAGGGCCGGGCTCCTCCTGGGGGTGACGAGGTAGCGTGGAAATGACAGCGGGGGAAATGACAGCGGGGTCAGGGTGCCTGCGTCCCTCGGGCCTTCCTTCCGCCTCATCGCAGGCCCTGCCCACTCGCCCCCTCCCTTACTGTCCCTCTGTTTCTCCCCAATTCCTCTTCTGGAACCTGGACAAGTGGTGTCTAAAAGCCCGTGGACACCTCGCTGGATGCCTTTCTCCTCCTCTGCACCGGCCTGGGCCCCTGGCAGTGGTCAGGGATGGGGTGGGGAGCAGAGGTCTGTAGGATGGGACCATCTCCGACCATGCAGGCCGCAGGGCAGGGGCGAGGGATGCCAGAGGAAAGGCTGCCTTTGACCTAGCCCAGCCCACCTCCGCGCCGCCCTTGTCCCAGGGGACCCCGGGGTTCTGACCCCAGCCCCTCGGCCGCCTCCAGCCTGCATCTTGGGAGCAAACGCTGGGGTGATGTCGCGGACAAGCCCCTGGTGCGGAGGCTTGGAATCAGCCAAAGGGGGTGGGGGGCTGGGGCTGAGGGGTCCAAAGGCGGGCGGGCGGAGAAGAGCGGGCCGGGTGGGGGAGGGGCGCGTGCAGACGGCCCCCCCCGCCCCCCGCGCGGTGCAGGGGCGCGGAGGGCCGGGCCGCGGCGCGCGGGGCTCGTCCCGCTCCCGGGTGAGGTCGCAGAGACAGAAGGCCCCGGGGGGCGGGACGGCCCGTGCGGGCGCCGGGTGACCTTGGCGCGGTCGCTTTTCTCCTTGAGCCGCAGCGGCCGCATCCGTCAAGTGGGGCCGGCGCCCGCCCGTGTGCCGGCCGCGGGGCCGGCGGAGGCGAACATCCTCTGCGAAGGTTGAGAGGCGCCATTAATATTCATCGCCGCGGTACCTGCGGCACCTCCGCGGCGCGCGCCGAGCCGTCGCCGGGCTGCGCTGGCTTCCTGCGGCGCCCCGCGCCCCCTCCGCGGGCCGCGCGGTGCCGGCGCCCCCGCCCCGCCCGCCCGCCCGCCCGCCCGCCCGCCCGCCCGCGGCTTCGGGGTCGCCGGCCGGGGGCCTCGGGGTGGGGAGACGCGGCTCGGCGCGCCCGGAGCCGGGCTGGGTCTGACCGGCGGGCGCCTGCCTCTGCCTCACCCCCGTCCCCCCACGCCCCCAGCGCCCCGGGATGCCGTCTGGAGCCCGGATGCCCCACCAGGGGGCGCCCATGGGCCCCCCGGGCTCCCCGTACATGGGCAGCCCCGCCGTGCGACCCGGCCTGGCCCCCGCGGGCATGGAGCCCGCCCGCAAGCGAGCAGCGCCCCCGCCCGGGCAGAGCCAGGCCCAGAGCCAGGGCCAGCCGGTGCCCACCGCCCCCGCGCGGAGCCGCAGGTGAGTGGGGCCCGGAGGGGGCGGGCCGGGGTGGGCGGGGAGCCCGCTTGGAGGGGCGCGGAGGGGCATGGACGGGAGCGGGGCGCCCTGGGCGGGACGCCCTCGGGGGCGGTGGGCCGAGGGGCACCGGCCGGTTCCTTTGTGTGCCCACCGCGGGGGCCGAGGCTGCGGCCGTCGCCCTCCGCCTGGTCATCTGCTCCGCTCCACCCTCCCTCCTTGTCCCCAGGTTCTGGGTGATGCTTCAGCCCTGGGGGGTGCAGGCGGGGGGACTCTGCCCCGGGACCGCGTTTCTCCACGTCTGCCGTGCCCTTCTCACACCCCCTGGGTCTGCCATGCCCAGTCTCTGGTCCGGGGGCGGGGGTCCTGGGAGCTTGCCCGGGGGGTCCATGGCCTCAGGTGATTCTCAGGCCCGCCATGGTTGAAGAACTGCCAGCATCTGTCCCCTGGCTCAAGTCTGCCCCCAAGCGGGGGGTGGGGGTGGGTAGCCCGACTCCTTGCCTGAGCCAGTTGGTGGCACCCCAAAAGCCCCTGCTGGTGCCTGGCAAGAGAACTGCCCCTCTGGGTTTCAGGATTTAGCCAAACACACATGCTTCCCTTTGCACACCAGATGGAGTCCTAGAAAAGGTGTAATGAAGATTTTACTGCATTATTAAAAATTTCTTATGGAGGGAGGAAAATTCACCATTTATAAAGGATCCCACGATGAATTCTTTTGCAAAGTGAATCGGCCTTTTAGACAGTAAACAAGTCCCCGATTTATCTTGGATGCATGGAAGAGTTTCACACCGATAATTTGTTCAAAACAGATCAGACCTTTCGAAAGCCGCTGCCTCGCCTGAAAATAGATTTTTGAGCAGGGAGGGGCAGTGCCTGACACCACCACGCGGGGGCAGTGTGGAGCCGTCCTCCGGGCTGGGCTCTCGTCTCTTACTCCGCCAAGGACTTTCTGGGCGCTCTGGGGAGTGAGGAGCAGCTGGGGGGCCAAGAGTCCAATTCCCAGGGGCTACCTTGGATCCATCCAGTTTGCTCCAGCCCACAGCTCACCTGCCCCCCCAGCTCAAACCCCCCATTTTCTCTGGAACCCCAGGGTGTGTCCCTGGCCCCTGATGACAGGTGGCCTTAGGGCATGAGCACCCCCTGCCCACTGGTCTCCCCTTCCAAGCCCAGGGTGGCAGGGATGCAAATCCTCACCAGCCTGCTGCCATCACCTCCTGCTCCAGGAATGGGGAGTGGGCTCTCCTCCCTCTGAGCTCAGGCCGCCCGAGTGGTGCACCCCTGCTTAACAGAAAAGCCGTGTCCTCCGACCCTGTCCCTCCCCCCAGCTTTCCTCGAACACTCTGTAGCTCCCCCACCCCCAGCCCCTGCTAAATCTCAATGTGGTCCAGAGGACGCGGTGGGGCAGAAGGGGGCTCCTCGGCCACAGAAAGGGTGGGTCACCCCTGCTCCCCACCAGAGGACAGGGTGCCCATGCCACACACTGTGGTCGTAGCCCTTGGGCGGGAGACCAGCAGGCTGTGGGAACCCCAGCCAGGCTGGTGGAGATGTCGGGATAATTTAGCAGGTGGCCTCGTTACTCCCAGATCTGTCGCCATGGTAACCTGGTTTTTTCTTTAAAAAATGTACAGTGCCAAGAGGAGGAAGATGGCTGACAAAATCCTCCCTCAAAGGGTGAGTGCCTTTCACAGCAGCCCCCGGCCCACCCCCACCCTTTGCTGCTCCGCCCCCCCACCCCCTGCCCCCGCCTCCCCTCCTCCATCAGGAGAGGAGCCCAGCGTGACAGTCACTTTCACTTTTTGTTTAAAAAGCTAATTAAGAAGTGAGGCTCCCAGGCCAGAGGGAGGGGGTGGGGAGGAAGGAGGGAGGAGGGGCCCCGAGGGCAGGGGACCGGGCAGGGTGCTGGCTGCAGTGGACTTGGGTCCAGCCATCTGAAGACAGACGGGCGTGGGACAAAGAGGGAGGAGAGCCTGGGGTCAGAGGCTGGCGGGGGAGAGAAGCAGACCCAAGCTGGCCAGAAGGCCGGGCTGGGCACAGGGTGGCACAGTTAGGACATCAGTGGGAGCCTGGAGGCAGGTGGCCGAGGAGAGGTAGCAACAAGGTCCCAGCCGTCTCTGGGACCCCAGCACCCCAGCCACTTAGCAGACACCCCAGGGGAGCCAGAGCCAGGGGAGCAGGTTCTGCCTGTGCACTTGCTGGGCACCAGGCTTAGGGGGGCCTCTCCTCCTGAGGAAATGTCTGGAGCCCTAGGGGGAGAAGCAGCGCATCCACGCTGACAGCGCAGGACCGCTCCTGCTGGATGTGGGGCCCTGGGGAGAGGTGCCGGGTGCTCCCCCGGCCCCAGAAGCTGGCCAGTCCCCCTCTGTGCTCTCCGCACGCGGGGCCTGGCCAGCATGCGCCCGTCCCACTCCCGGCCCCTCCTCTTCCAGATCCGGGAGCTGGTCCCCGAGTCCCAGGCTTACATGGACCTCCTGGCGTTTGAGCGGAAACTCGATCAAACCATCATGCGCAAGCGGGTGGACATCCAGGAGGCCCTGAAGAGGCCGATGAAGGTGCCTTGGTGTGGGGGCAGGCTCACGGCCGAGAGGTGGGGCTGCCCCGGGGAGCACCCAGGGCTCCCTCTGTACCATACTCTCTGTTTCTACAGCAAAAGCGGAAGCTGCGTCTTTATATCTCCAATACCTTTAACCCCGCGAAGCCCGACGCGGAGGACTCCGACGGCAGCATCGCCTCCTGGGAGCTGCGGGTAGAGGGGAAGCTCCTGGATGACGTACGTCCTGGCCCAGGTCTCTCCGGGGGTCCTGGGGTGGGCACGGGGCCGGGCCGAGAACGCAGCGGAGCAAGTGCTTTGCACGGTGCTGGGGGTCAGCCCCTGCGGGGTGGGCGGCCTGCTAGGCCCTGTGCTGCCGCCCCACCAGCCCCACCCGCTCCCGACTCACTCTGCCCCCACGTTCCTGTTCTGCCCACGTCCCTGTTCTGCCCCCACGTCCCTGTTCCTCTCCCGCAGCCCAGCAAACAGAAGCGGAAGTTCTCTTCCTTCTTCAAGAGCCTGGTCATCGAGCTGGACAAAGACCTTTACGGCCCTGACAACCACCTAGTTGAGGTAAGACCAGACGCCTCTGCCCCCCTACTGTACCCCTCACCAGCGCCACCCCGAAGGCCTCAGCCCACGGTGCCATGGGCTGCACAGATCTGGATCAGGGGCCACCCCAGAGCCCCAGGGGGCCCCAGGGGTAACCAGCTCTTGTGCCGGACAGTGGCACCGGACGCCCACCACCCAGGAGACAGACGGCTTCCAGGTGAAGCGGCCGGGAGACCTGAGTGTGCGCTGCACGCTGCTCCTCATGCTGGACTACCAGGTGCGCCCCGCCCCCTCCCCGTCAGACAGCGGGGGCCTCGGTGTCAGGCTCGTGCATCTGGGACCCCATTCTCCACCCCCCTTCTCCAGAAACCCCGTCACCACGTCAGGGCCCTGCCAGCCCCGCGCTGCCTGGCCCCCCGCTCTTTCCAGTCTTTTCTCTCATTTTCACGGCCCTCTCCCCAGCCTCCCCAGTTCAAACTGGACCCGCGGCTGGCGCGGCTGCTGGGGCTGCACACACAGAGCCGGTCGGCCATCGTGCAGGCGCTGTGGCAGTACGTGAAGACCAACAGGCTGCAGGACTCCCACGACAAGGAGTACATCAACGGGGACAAGTACTTCCAGCAGGTACTGCTCTGCAGCGCTGGGCCCGCGAGGGGCAGGCACAGGGCCCCGGGGGGGAGGGGGGCGGGGAGGTTGGGAACCTTCTAGATTTCTGGGTACAGAAATGGTACATGCCATAGCCTCTGAGCCGAGAGCAGCGTCCTGGCCGGAGCTCTGTCGTGGTGGGGCCCTGGCCACAGCCCACCCACGTCACCATCCCGAGTCGGAACTGCAAGGCCAATGCTTTCGGGAACGTCGTGTTCACAGCACTTGGAGCTGGCGCCTGGGGCTCCAGTCCCGGGTCCAGACTCTGGCAGGCTTCAGTTACTTTGAACCTTGTTCCTTAGATGCGGTCTCCCCCCAACCCAGACTGTCAGGAAAAGGTTGCCGGCTAAGGAGGTGTGAAAGCGATGTGACGAGACTCCCCTAGATGTGATCACCAGAACTGATTTTTAAATAAACACGGCAGAGAACCCTGAGGAGTGACCAAAAGCAGTTGACATTTATTCAGCACTTACCGCTGCCAGGCACCGTCCGAGCCCTGTGTGCTGACTCCCGACAGCCTCACACCCCGTGAGATGGGTCCCTTTAGCCCCATTCTAGAGACGGAGAAACTGAGGCCAGACATGGTCAATAGCTGGTTCGGGTTGTTTAGTAAGAGGCAGCAACAGGACTGACCCCTCAGCAGCCAACCCACACCCACTCCCACCACCGCCTGGTGCCCCTCCGGCGAGCACTGAGGATTAGACTGGCTCCAGCCTCTTGTCACCTTCCCAGAACGGAAGGATCTAGAATTGCAGCTGTGCTCTCTTCAAGCATAAAAATGTCATCTCTCTCTCCTGTCTCAGATTTTTGATTGTCCCCGGCTGAAGTTTTCCGAGATCCCCCAGCGCCTCACAGCTCTGCTGTTGCCCCCCGACCCAATTGTCATCAACCACGTCATCAGGTGAGGCCCAGCCTGCTCCTCAGCGCGGGAAGCGCCCCGCCCCGCCCTCTTCCTCCCCCACCTGTCCCCCTCACTGCCTCTGCCCCGGGCCTTGGCCCCTGGGGGTGGGCAGTGTGGACTCCAAGGGCGGACTTTCCCGGCAGCGTGGACCCATCGGACCAGAAGAAGACGGCGTGCTACGACATAGACGTGGAGGTGGAGGAGCCGCTGAAGGGGCAGATGAGCAGCTTCCTCCTGTCCACTGCCAACCAGCAGGAGATCAGCGCTCTGGACAGTAAGGTGGGGCCAGAGCCCAGAGCTGGAGTGGGACATTAACCCAGAAAGGACAGCATGGACAGGACAGACGGGAGCAGGCCTTGGGCGCCACGGCCCCTCCCCTGGGCTGCAGAGGCCTCAGGGGCCCCAGGGACTGCCCTGCGCTGGGACCGCAGCTGCCCCTCCCCCAGCGCGCCCACCCCCTCATCACGGCCAGGTGGAAAGCTCTGTCTTTCTACCTGCAGATCCATGAGACGATTGAGTCCATAAACCAGCTCAAGATCCAGAGGGACTTCATGCTAAGCTTCTCCAGAGACCCCAAAGGCTACATCCAAGACCTGCTCCGATCCCAGAGCCGGGACCTCAAGGTGAAGGGGACTCGGGGAGCACTGGATGGAAGACAAGCACATCGGGAAGACAGTGAACGTTGTACAGGGGTGGGGGGTGTCCAGGCCCAGGACTGACCCCCGCTCCCTCCCAGGTGATGACAGACGTGGCCGGCAACCCGGAGGAGGAGCGTCGGGCCGAGTTCTACCACCAGCCCTGGTCCCAGGAAGCCGTCAGCCGGTACTTCTATTGCAAGGTGTGAGGGCCGGGTACCGCAGGCTTCCTCTCCGCCTCAGCCGGGGCACAGAGGCCCCACCCCTCACATGCAGTAGCCCCCCATGCTCCCCTAGGCTCCTGGGGGGGCGGGGCGCCCGCACTCACCAGCAGCACCGTAAGCGCGTCTGCTCTCATCTCTTTAAAGATCCAGCAGCGCCGGCAGGAGCTGGAGCAGTCCCTGGTGGTGCGCAACACCTAGGAGCCTGCAGAGGGGCCCTGGGCCTGCCCGCCCTGCCCCGGGGCTCTGCGCCCCGCGCCCAGGCCAGGCGGGGAACTGGATTAAAGGTCATGCATCTGCTGGCAGCCGTGTGGTCATTGGCAACCGGGGAGGGAGGTGGCAGGGAAGGCAGTGGGTCCGCCCACCCGCCCTCCGACTCTTCTTGCTCTTTTCCCTAGACCTAAAAACAGTCTGGCAGAGACATTTTTAATAACATTTTCTTATTAAAAAAATACAGCCACAAGCTCTCCATCTGTCCATCCATCTGGCCTTGCCCCTCCAGGGGCGGAGGCCACCCAGGGGGAAGCAGGCGGGGTGCGGCGGAAGCGCTAGGTGCTGTTGGCCTGCTCCTGCTCGAACAGGGCCATGGCCAGCTGCGCGCGGCCCCCCAGCCCCTCCAGGTTGCTGAGGCGGCAGCGGTGGTAGAGCTCCTCGCTGAGCCGCGGGCTGCAGTCCCGCAGGGAGAACTTCTGCACCAGGCCTGGCTCCACGGCCCGGAAGAGGTGGAGCCCTGAGAACCGGAGGAAAACATCCATCACCTCCAGCCCCTCCAGGGCTTCCTCCTCTTCCTGGCCTGCCAGTTCAGCAGCCAGCCGGGCGCGGGCTGCCAGGTAGTCGGCGTTGTAGAAGCAGCCCTCCGCGGAGGCCTGTCGGTCGAACCTGCCCCCCACGGGAGCCCCACGGGCAGGGTCGGCACCGGGAGGGGATGGGGGGTCAGGGCCAGCCCCCGGGGCGCCTGGGGAGATCGCTGTGGTGCCAGGGCGGGGTTGAACTCCTGGAAGTGGACTGGGAAGAAGGCCTGCCAGCCGGAGATGGCATTCATGCGGCAGCGGTTGAGGACTTCGGGCCCCGGCCGGGTCCACACGGTGGTGAGGAAAAAGAGGGTGTCCACGGGGTGCTTCTTGGAGATGACGTCCATGAGCCGCACCTGGGAAGGAGCCTCCGCGCGCACAGCGAGCCAGGCTAGCCTCGTCCCCGGGTACCGTCGCTCTAACTCGGCCGCCGCGGCCTTCACTCCGAGAAACGGGTCCGGGGCCCCTCGGCCACCTTCCCGCGGCCCATAGACCAGCAGCAGGGTGAGCAGCGCGTGCTCGTGTGGCTCCAGAACGCTGGTGGCGAAGGCCTCGAGGAAAGCAGGGGCCGCAGCAGCCTCGGCCACCAGGAGGGGCAGCACCAGCTGCACGCGGGTGGCCTCCGTGACGTAGGGCATGGGGAGGATCTCCACCCGGCTCAGCGGCCGCAGTAGGCTGACCCGGCGGGCCAGGGCGCGCCGGTGCCCACGCTGCGTCACTGCCTCCAGCAGCAGGTCCAGCGTGTACTCCATGCCGCGGGCCGGGTCGAAGCGCCGGTAGCCGTTGAGTAGCCGCTGCTTCTGGAAGCGCAGGCGGGGCTGGTAGCGCCGGTTCAGCTGCTCCAGGGCAGTCTCCACCGCGTCGCCCACGTCCGCCCTGCTGGCCCCTTGCAGTGGGCACTTGGGAGCCCCGTTGGCACAGGAGAAGGCGTGCTGCTCAGTGAAGTAGTCCCAGCCCAGCACCTCAAACCGAGAGTGCGGGGTGAAAGGAGCCGGGAGCCCCACGGGCCAGCTCAGCCCTGCCTCCCCTTCGGGGGTCAGCATAGTCAGGTTCCGGATCTGAGCCTAGGGCGGAGGGACATGGTTAGTGCCCACGAGGAGTGAAGATGCCACCTGCCCCAGCAGCCTGGCTCTGAGAGGCAAACAGCAGAGCGCGGTGCCAACTTGGTCAGCACTCGGCCAGGTGCCCTGGAGTCCCTGGGCATCCCTCGCCCTGCAGGTGGCACGTGTGGGCACGCCAGCTCAGCCTGCCTGCTGCTGCCAGAGGTCGGGACGGGGCTGCCAGAGGTCAAGGCTGCTGAGCTCCCTTGCCAAAGGAGCCCCATGCTCCCCCCTGCCGGGTGCCTGCCTCTCCACCTGTGCTCCCCCGCCAGCCACGCCCCCCGCCCGCCGGAGAGGCTGCCTGTCCCGCTGGCGCAAGCACGTAACCACAACACTGGACGTTCAGGGCCTCTGGGCTCTGGGGACTGGGCCTCTGTGGTGGAGAGGAGTCCTTGAGAGGAGCCGAAGCTATTCTAAGCTCCGTGCCCAGCCTGAGCCTTGCAGCCCTGCAAGCCCCCCTAGTTGCGCTCAGTCGCGCCAGACACGCTAATGACTGACCTGAACCCCTAAGAGCCGTTTCTCCCAGAGTTGTTTTCAATTTCGGTGCAGTCGGCCCCCTCTACCCTCACTGCGTTCCCTGAGACCTGGACAGTCCAGCTCCCCCGACCGCCAGCCCTGGCCCCAGCTCACCTGCAGCTGTTCGATCTCGCTGTACGCCCGCTCCAGCTCCAGCGCACTGAAGCGTTTGTGGAGCCGGTACATGAGGGTTCCCTCGGAGACGGGGTGCACAGCAAAGGCGCTCAGGAAAGCCGAGCTCCCCTCCTTCTCAGGGTCCCTATTTTTGGCCAATTCAAATGAACGATACTGCTGCCCCTGGAGGACCAATCAGACCAGTCAGTGCCACCCGCTGAGGACTGCCCGTCCCAACCACCCCTCACCAAACTCGGCATTCACACCCATTACTGCCACAGTCGCACAACAGCGGGAATGGAGCACATTCCCAGGTACCCTTACCCTTGACCTTGCTCTCACCACCAGATTTTGGGAAAGAGGACATAAGTAGGCGCCTAAGGATGCCCTCTCGCTCCAAGGGGCCCCACGGTTTCTCAAGGAAACAAGTCAGCCAATACTCCCAAAACTCGGTTTGAGATCCACTGGGGTCGTCCCCTCTTTTCCAGTCCCACAAGCAGGATGGAGCTCTGGGCTAGAAAAGTGGTCACTCAGTGGGGCGCATCTGTGGGAACTTGCCAGATGGGTCAGGACTGAGCATGTGTGCAGAGAGGGGGCAGGGGGTAGACGGGAGGACGGCTGGTAAGTAGGGCGCTGGTGTGCCTCTCGCAGCGGGCCCTGGACAAGGTGCCACTTTTGACAGCCCCATGGTACTAGGACTGCCAGGATGAACAAGGGAGAGCCGGAGGGGTGGGCTGGGCTAGGGAGGGCAGCACGGCAGCGCCCAGCCTGAAGGCCGATCGCCAGTCACTACCAACTTGTTGGGGAGTAAGACTGCAGGGAAGGGCTGTCACCTGGTGCTGGGAGACACAGCCGATGCCCAGAGAGTCGATGAGGCAGCGGCCGAGCCACTCATCGGGACGTGCGCTGAGAATGTCGCCTCGGCAGCCATCCAGATGTGGCCGCAGCCGAAGCAGGAGGCTCCGTGACAACAGGTAGCCGAAGCCGCCGTGGCAGTATCGGGCCTGCTCGCCCGCGCCAATGAACTCCTCTGCCCGGCCCAGGTACAGGTCTTGATTGATGCTGAGGTGGCCGGCCAGGGCTGCCAGGCGGGGGGCCTGCACGTACGTGTCATCCTGCATGATGAAGAACCAGTCGTAGTCGGCGCCGAAGTGCGTGTGAAGGTGGCGCAGGGTCTCTGACATGAGCCAGACCGGCCGCTCGTCCCCGTGAGACACCACCTGCATCCCCGCCGGAACCCGGGCCCCTCGCTGCCCGGTGAAGTAGAGCAACCGGGGGAAGTGGTGGGCGATCGTGCGGTTCACAGCCACGGCCAGAGTGGACAGCGTGGCCCGGGAAGTCAGGACAGCCACCAGCAGCCGCTCACGAGAGCCCAGCTCTGTCTGGATGTACCGAGTCCTGCGGAGAGACCAGTGTGCCAAGGGTCAACAAACTCCCTGATATTTAGGGAGCCAGTTTGTCCATCCCCTTAGGAAAGAGTGAGCAGGGACTAAGAAAAGAGAGGGAAAGACCCCCTCGCCAATACTAGTTACTGGAGGAGCCCCTTGGAGGAGCTGACCCTGGAGCTGACCAAGGTGGGGTTCACTATGGATGGGGCAGAGCTGTCCTGTGCAAGAGCCTCCAGTGCTAAGCTTGACACCATTAGGGGAGCCTTTCTTAGAGCTGAGGGAGAGGGAAAATTAAGAACCATGACAGATACCATGGCAAAGAACTGCTCCAGGGAATCGAACACTGATCGCCACGGAAGGAGAGGCATGGACTTGAGCAGCCCTCCACCGGGGTCTCACCTGAGCACCTTCTTGTAGGGCTTGTTGGGATCCCTGTAATAGGGGACAATCCGCGGTTTGAAGTCTTCATCGCTTTGATCCAGCCGTGATCCCAAGTCCAGATTCTGTGGCCTTCCTGGCTCCCCCACAGCCTCTACACAGAGATCTTCTCCCTCACCCTGGATCCAGGACACCCGCAAGAGGCTCAGGCTGCATCCCAGAGAAAGCCCGAGGATGAGGGGCAGTGCTGGTCGCAGCAGGGCCAACAGGGAGCTCAGTCGCATGGTGGTAGGCTCTGCTCTGTGGGTGCCTGCGAGGGCACAGTCTCAAGAATCAATGGGTTGGTGGGTGCCAGGCCAGCAGTACTGGCTAGTTTTAACCAGGGAACTTGGGGTCAGTGAGGTCAACAGAGCAAGACCTGTTTGCCTCCAGGCCCAGCATCCCAGGAGCGTGACTGTCGCGACCCAACCCTGTCTGTTTGGTCTTCAGTAGTCAAGGTGCCGGGTAAATGCCAGATTCAATTTCACTCACTAATGGGATTATGGTCTGTCTTCCACAGAGGGAAGGAAACAGAGCCGAGTCCTACCAGATCTGCACACGGGTAGACGGAATCTAAGAGACAGCAGCAACCGATAAAGGGCTTTTGAGGAGAAAATACAGATCCAGGAAAACCAGGCCCCTGACCAGAGGAGCCGGCCTTTCCCCAAGCGCGCCTGGCTGGGCACAGTTCTTGCTCGGTCTACAGAAGGGGCTGCTGACTGGCTGCTGAAGGCCGGCACAGCTAAGGGGTCACCCTCTTTCTACTCCGCTGGGGAATACCAAAGGGACCCGATTAGGGTAAGCCCCTCCCTGTCTGGGGTGGGCAGGAGGCCCCGGCACGGGTCACCTGCGCAGCCAGATGAGATGGAGAGACAGGGCCGGCCCCTCCCAGCGGCGCCCACTGCCCGCCGGGCCACTCCGCAGGGCCTCCTGGGGGCCGCGGCTGCCCGCCGGCGCTGCCCGCCTCCCCAGCGCCCGCCCTCCCCTCGGGGCCCCGGGAGGCGAGTGGCAGCAGCTGCCGCCGCGCGGCGGCCAGTGGGTGTCCGGCCCGACCAGCGTCCCCGGGCCAAGCACACCCGCCGAGCGCAGGAGGCGGCGGGGCCGAGGCGGGGCCCAGCGACGGCAAAGCGCGGCCCTGCAAGGGCGCCGGGCGAGCGGGCGGCGCCGCCCCGCGGAGCACAAGGCGCGGCGCGGGCTGTCGGGGCCGCGGCGCGCGGAGGCTCAGCCCGGGCCCGAGGAAGGCCGGCCGCGCCCGCAGGCGGCACCAGCGCGGCCTCGCCGGGCCCTCGCGGGCGGGGGGCGCCGCGGCGGGGCGGGCGGGCGGGCGGCGGGGTCGCGCCCGACGCCCTGCGGGAGGCCGGGGGTCGCAGGCCCCAGGGCCGCCCGGTGCTGGCTGCGCGCCGCTGCCACCTCACTGCGCGCCGCTCTTCCGCTTCCGCCGCTGTCAGCGCGTCTCTATGGTGACCGCTTCCGGCCGCCCGGCCCGCCCCTTCCCGGCACCGCGCACGCGCGATGGGGTTGGGGGGGGTTGGGGGGGCTCGGGGGTCCCGGGTCCCGCGCGCGCCCCAGTTGCAATTTGAGAGAACCCCGAGTGGACCCCAGGGGACCCAAGTCTTCACCCCAACTCCATCTGCTGGGGGGGCCCCCCGGCCGACGGCCCCACTGCGCCTCGCTGCAGGCAGTGCTGTCGCCCTAGGCGCGCCCGAGCGCCGAGAACTGAGCAGCCGATTTGGGGCGCGCCTGGGCTGGGCCTAGCCCCGGCGATGGGAGGCGGGCGGCGGGCGAGGACGCGGCGGCGCCCCCGGAGTGGAGGCTCAGGCGGACAGCAGAGCCGGGCAGGGCCCTAGAGGGGCGGGGGCGAGGGCGGAGGCGCCGGGAGGCGCACAGCGGGGAGATTTGAATTAGGTTGGAAACTTGGGGATGCTGAGATCCAAAGGCTCGGTAAGGTACCCCGGACAAGAAGCTGGAGAGGAGTTTCGCAGGCTGAGCGGAGCACAGAAGGCCCTGAAGGAGGAAAAGGCCTGGCCTGGCCTCCATCCAGAGCGGCTAAGCTCGGTGAGAGAGGGAATAGGCACTCGCCGGGCTTCGGACCACACTGACACTCTCTTGCGGGGTCAGATGGCGGAGGGGAGGAGCTAAGGATGCTGGCATCTTACACATCGCGAGGTGGCATCACACATCAAAGTGTCTGTAGCTTTCAAAAGTCCCACTGAACATGCACGGAGGTGCAAGCACTGGTCATAATCAGCTGACCCTTGAGCCTAGCTCACCTTTATAGATCTAGAAAAGATAATTTTTTAAAAAGCTTTATTTATTTATGCATACAAGAGCTGGGGTACAGGCCAGAGGATTCACCAGAGACAAAATGGGGGACAGAACAGGCAGACTGACTGAAATACACTGCTGAGGGGAGCAGCGGGCTGAGGGGAGAGTCAGGAGAGGTCTGCTGCGTCATGTGGGCTGCAGCCCCCACCCCCACCCCCACCCCCACCCCCACCTCGGATAGAACTCGTGCTGCAGTGATAGCAGACAGCTTTGTAGGTTGCGTCTTAACCCCTTGCGCCACCAGGGAGACCCCTAGAAAACACATAATTTGGCGGGTTTGTGATGTGGCAAATTTCCAAGGAATCATGAAAAATGGAAGATTTAATCCCAGCATCTACTGAGGTACTCCCTCCTTTAGAGAGCTCCATCAAATGCCAAGGCTGCTCCGAGAGCTCTAGCTGCATTTACAGTCACGTTCAAGGTTGTCCCACATACAGGTATAAGCATATGATGAATTAGATTTTCTACTCTACCGAAATAACTATCATTTTATTATAAAAGATTTTATTTTGCTGTTAGAGTTAAGACATCCTGATTTTTTGAAATGTGTATGTGTAGCTAGGTTATGTCATTTATGATCTTTATTTTAAAATAGTGGAGGGGGTGTTAGAGAAAATGCTTGGTTATTTAAAATGTGGAAGTGGGGTCTGGCATTCCCTTTTCCTTCTGGTTAAGAAGGGCTCAAACTAACAAAACTGAACTTAGCCAAGTTTCAAGCTCCACAGTCATTTCAGCATGGCCTCTGCCACACAAGCATCTGGCTCCACTGGCAGGCCCTGTTCGCCTAGTGCCAGCATCCTGCACACGCTCATCCAGGCAGAGAACACTCCACAGCCAAACCTGGCAGGGGAGCAGCTGGAAGGTCGCCCACCCTTGGCTTTGCACTGACACCTATGAAGACCAGCAGTAGAGACCCCCGAGCCATGATGAAACAGCTGAGTGAGGTATCTGAGTTTCCAGTAACTGAGTTGTCTTTTTGTAATTCCTACTCTTGAATCTTTAGACCTCGCTCCAGGAGTTCTCCTGCCGTGGACACCAATCTTTTTTTCTCTTGATACAAGAGGATCTGATGGGTGTCTAACTTGGGACAACACGGGGGTCTGACCTGTGAACTGATGTCCTCCCTGGTGGCACAAGAGGTTAAGTCTCAGCACTATCAAGCTAATGGCAGCCACTGCAGCACGAGTTCTATCCCCGGCCAGGGAGATGACCCACAGATCTCTCCTGTCTCCCCACTGCTCCCCTCAGCAGTGTATTTCAGTAAATCTGCCTGTTCTGCTCCCCACTCTGTCTCTGGTGAATCCTCTCACCTCTCCACACCTTCGGCCTATACCCCAGCTCTTGTATGCATAAATAAATAAACATTAAAAAAAAAAGAAATATAAGACGAACCACAAATGTAATTTTACATTTCCTGGTAGCCACATATTTAAAACAACAAAAAGAAGCAGGTGAAAATGACTTGCCATCAGTGTACCATACTATAAATTTCAGGAGTACAGCTTCACCCCTCAATACATGTAAATACCACACCACACCCACCATCAAAATTCTAGTGCCGCTCACCACTGACACCCTCTACCAGTTCCTTTCCTCCTATCCACCCCACTACTACCCCTCTATAACCACCCAGTTTTGTTAGTCTAAGAGTTGCTTTTGTTGTGTTTTGTTAGTTTGCCATCTTCATATTCCACATAGTGAAACCATCCAGTATGCCTTTCCTTTTGACTTCTGCTTAGCATAATCATGTCAACTTCCATCCATAGTGCCACAAAAGGCAAGATTTTATCTTTCTTATAGCTGAGTAGTATCCCATTGTGTATATGTACCAACCGTTATGCAGTTATTCATCAATGAGCATCTAGGTTGTTGAAATTAATTTAAACTGCATTATTAAATATATCCAATCAGCATGTAATCAATATTTAAAAGTTGAAATGATTTTTAGATTCCTTTTCCCTTACATGCATGCTTTGAAGCCCACTGCATATTTTGCACATACAGCACATCTCCATTCTGATCAGCCAAGTTTCAAGCTCCACAGCAGCAGATGGTGTGAGAACACAGTTGCAGATCCTTCTAGTTACTAAGTTCTAGGTAATTCCGAATGAGAGATTTCCTTCCTTAGCTCTCCACGTGTTCACATGTTAAATGAAGAGTCCAAATGTTTTTGCTTCCAGCCAGCACTGATCCTCTCTTTAGTCCTTTTCTCCTCTTCTCTCTCTCTCCCTCATCTCTTTGTCTCTCTCTCTTCCATTTTCCTTTCCCCGTTCCCTCTCCCCTCATCCCCAGGCCTGTCCCCTGTAAGAGTTCAAAACCCTGTGTGGGGGGCGGCAGAATGTCTAAGGACCAACACACGGTCTCTAGCCACTCTCGCTGTTTAGAGGGAGACTCTGCCCAGCAACTGCTAATTCATGGGAAATCGTGGCTGTGATTGGTTGTTACACAGGTGGTGTCAGAGAACTAACTGGCTAGCCTTTCTCTTGCTGTCCTGAGCCATTTTACAGAGTTGGAGTTATGGACTAGAATATTCTAGCTTCAAAGCCTGGCACAGTCTTCTATCAGCTCTGTGTTTCATAAACAGCTCTGTGCCTTCATTTCCAATCTGGAAAATGGTAATAATACCCACTGCAGTTTGTTTGCGGGGAGGGGGGAGGGCACAGAAGCAATGGCATATAAATAAAAGTCTAATAAATGTTAGTTCTCTGTAACATGCAACCTGCCCATAACCCTGCATTTTAATGAGGCTGGGGAAGGAAGCATATTGCAGACAGTGCTCCCAGGAGGCAAGGAGCTTGGATGAGTGATTTTTATGTGATGCACAACCATATATAACTTCTTTGCATCATAAAAGGCTCTGCAGTTAACTGTTGTCCATATTCCTTTTAACCTAAAGCAATGCTTTTGCTATTATTAGATTCTTAATATTTGTAAATGTATTAAATATTCCAACT